CATCATCATAATTTTATTTTTAAATACAATATGGTCATATTAAAACAATTACATGCTTAATTATTTTATCACCAGATAGAAAAATGAAAAAATTACATTTGTTTTATATCTGGATTGCCAATATCGTTTATAAATTTCCATGTATAGTTCGTTCATGAACACGAAGAGTATCTACTCGTTTAGACCACTTGTTACAAACTTTAAACATATAAACTCTGAACTGCATCATGAACCATCAGTTGATGCCTACGCTACATTTTGCTTTCCTCCGCTTATCTGCAGGAAAACTGAACAATCGAACATCGGTAGACTTACTTTTACAATTAGGTGCAACACAATAACCCATTGCTTAACGTTTTGAGTACGTATATAAGTAATAATAGTCGACTCATGCAAGAACCACGTATGGTGAGCTCTATCGATGAGTCCCAAAATGGCCGCTGCCGCATAGAATCACGGGAGCGTGTCCTGACCTTCTTATACAGACCTTGATATCGACCCCTTGGGGTCGATAAGAGTTCTCCAAGGTCGATTAATACACGAGGGTCGAAAGGGGGTCGATTAATACCAAAGAGGATCAATTAAACTGTCTAGGAAAAAAATAGAATATTCCAATAAAAATTCGAAATACAGATATGATCAACAACACTACTGACTACCCTAGTTATAACTTGACTTTTGCCTTAGCTTACGCCGCTTTAAGCATGTGTTACTCTGTTTTCACGCATCTGGCAACTGTACTAGTGTTGCAAACATGTTATGAACGCTGGTAGTTCATTATACACAGACATACGTTGCACTGTTACACTCTAGTTGGGTTGTCACTCTAAGTATTTTATATCTAAACGTAGATATTTTGTCCTTTACAGAGAAAATATCGTAATATATCGAAAATCATTAATATAGTACAGAAGCGTTTGCAAGAAAAAATGGCCTTTCAAGTAAAAATGGAGCTATTTAAATCTTCACTGGCACCATCTGATTTTAAATATTTTTCAAACTTGCGAAAGTGCGAAACTTAAAAGAAAATGAAAAGGTTTCCGACCGTAATTTGGAAATATATATTAAACATCTTGATAAATTAAGAGGACTTTAAAGCACGTTTCGAAGAATTGGAGAATATGCATGTTTCCGAATGGTTTGCTGATCCATTTAATGTAAAAATAGATAATGAAGGTAGTGAAACTGGCTTAGAAGATGAATTGAGTGAAATATGTGTATATCTCGAAGCTAAAGCGTTGTTTAAAAATAAAAACCTCAGTGAATTTTGAAGCAATAACAATATTGCCACTAAATATCCCAAGCTCAGAGTAGAAGCCGAACCTTTCTTACTTGCATTCCCAACTTCATACGTGGTTGAAGCTGGTTTTAGCCACGCAAACGCAATTTTGACAAAACAGAGGAACAGATTGAAATTGGAAAACTGTGGTGATTTCTGACTATAACTTACCAATTTTCAACCGCATATCAATAATCTTGCTGCTTCTCTTCAGATTCATCCATCCCACTAATATCAACTACAGGTAGGCCTCCTACAACGCGGTACCTTTACAACGCGTTTTCGCTCCAACGCGGTTGGAAAAATGTGGAAATTTTCTTACAACGCGGTTTACGGTATTTAGAAACGAATTATCTTTCACATAACAGAAAAATCGCAACGGATCACGTAATACGCGCGCCGCAGTTCGGTGTACAGAGCTAAATGTCCTCGAAAACGTTTGTTTGCCCACGTTGACGTGTTATTCCCATGAAAGTTTCAGGGGAAGACCGGTATCTAGACAGATGTGCACCAGTTACCACAAACGCTCAAACATATCACTGAATTTTCGATAATTTATACTCTTTCAATAGGTGGGGATCACAAAAATGGTCCAAAATACAATATAAACTTCTATTGGGTGTATATTTTTAACAACATAGTTAAGGGAAGTTATTTTTTGCGATTTTTACTGTCCACAAAACTGCTTGAAAAAATTTTAGCCATAACAATGTCGAATGAAAAGAAAGGACCGTCGTTAGAAAGGAAATTTTTTAATATATCTCTTCAAAGATAGAAATTTTGGATCGAATTAAAAATCAAGAGCGGATAGCTGATATTGATAGGCATTTTAATTTAAATGAGTCAACTGTTCGATCGATTAATCAATAGGAAGAAAAGATTAGAATTCAGTCGCATCCGGATCATCTATTCTTGCGAAAAATGTTTCTCGTCTGAGAGCACCTATAATGAAAAAAAAAAAAAATGGAACAAGCGCTAATATTATGGGTAGAAGATATGAACAAGAAACGGTTGCCTTAAAACAAAAGTGCAGTTAAACACAAAGCCTTAAAAATATTTCATTATTTAAAACAAATGGGACAGTCGTCGGCTGATGAAATCAGTGTTAAATTCGTGGCTACCAATGGCTGGTTTGAAAAACGTCATTCAAACGCCGAGTTTTTCTCTTTTTAGAACCGAATCCCGGTTTTTGTATTGAGTTGGTGTATCCTATAACGCGATTTCCCACAACGCGGTATTTTCAAGGAACGTATCTACCGCGTTGTAGGAGGCCTACCTATGTGAGTTCCCAGACGAGGTTCGAACTCGAGTAAACCGTGAAATTCTTGCGCGACACGAGATGTAAACAACGAGACTCGGTGCGGTTCGAGTATGTGTCAACTATCTGTTAATGTCTTAGCGGAAGACAACTCTAACACGAGCGCTCATAAACAGGTAAATCTTTGACTCG